CCTTCCTTCCTTCCTTCCTTCCTTCCTTCCTTCCTTTTTCTTTTTCTTTTTGGTTTCTCTGTGTAGCTCTGGCTATCCTGGAACTTGCTTTGTAGACCAGGCTGGCCTCAAACTCATGGAGAGCCATCTAATCTGGCTCTTGAGTGCTGGGATAAAGGCATGTACCATCACGGCCCCGCCACTCTGGTTCTTTCTAAGGAGAAAGGGGAATCACATAAGCGAATATACATGAGAACTTACATAGTTTAGTGTACAGCCATGAACACTGCCAGGCCTTCTGGCTGCAGCTGTGCACAGTTGGATCCTTCCTTTGTGTCTCCTCTGTGCTGGGCTCTTCCTTCCAGCCATTGGCTGCATCCCCCAGCAGCTTTCTGGGAGACGGGGGCTGTCATTAAATGCAGCCATTTTCATCATGAGGAGATCAGCCCTTGGGTAACTAATGGGTCTTTTCCAGGAGCACACAGCTCGTATGTGGCCAGGTCCTCCAGTGGTCAGCACCTCATCAGGAATGCCCATCCACGTCCTTGCTCCCCATCATACTTTTCCTGCTCTTCCCTGTGCCTCGCCCTGACCATTTGGACCACATTGCTGTTCTTGGATCACATTACTAACACTACTTCCTTTCATAAGTGTGTGTGGGTGTGCATGCGTGTGTGCATGTGTGTGTGTGTGTGTGTGTGTGACTCCTATCTCTGCTAGTGTTCTCTCCTGTCATTTAGGCCTCTGTTCCAGAGCCACCACAATGCCTTTCCTGACTTCCTCCCTCTCCAGCGTGAAGGCAGGGGGCTCCTTTCCACCCATGCTCTTCCTTTGCCGCACACTTCACCCCTGGCCATTACATTTGATATTTATTTCTTTAGTACCTGTCCCTCTGAAAAATGTGAACTACACGAGAGGGTCTGTTTTGCTCACTGCAGTGTCACTTTCCCAGAACAGATCCAGGTATGCCTGGCTCCTTCCTGCAACCCCTCCCCCAGATCAACAGTGTTGATCCTGACTTGATGAGTGGGATACCCTGTTAGGGTGTCAGGAGGACGGAGTAGTCTGGGTAATTGATTTCCTCTCTCTGAGCCTTAGTTTTCACACACACACACACACACACACACACACACACACACATGCATGCACGCACTCACGTGCACACACATGCACATACACGCACCCACGCTTACGTACACATATATGCATATATATCGAATGTCATATTGGGTGACATTTAATTTTTTCAGAATATGCTTCTATCATCACCTGAAAATAATCACTGGATTTAGAACTTCCTGATTGTGGCTTCCGCCCAGCACCGCAGCTTGCAGGCTCACATCATAAGTTTGCATCCTGCAGACCCAGTGGTTCAGGGGTCCCCAGGCCCCTATCCCCTAGAGTGGAGGACACTCTGACATCAGGAGGGGAAGGCCATGCAGCAGAGTGTGGCCCTGTGGCTGCTGGGCACTCGGCTGTGGCTGTCCTCTGGCTTTCCAACTGTGTGCTGCCCTTGTCCTTGAGTGTTCGTAGCTGAAAGTGGTACTTTTTTTTTTTCCTTTCACAATAGTGACTAGAGCTGCTACTCACCAGGTGTTTATGGGGAAACATAGTTGGTCAGCATCTGGGTGGATTCTGCAGCTGGCAGAGATCTCCCCCGGCTTTCTCCACTTTGAGCTTAATGATCAATAGATCAGACCTAATGCACTGCAGAACGTTCTGTGAAATCCTAGGTGGGAGAGGTAGCTGGGGAAAAGTCTAAGCCAAGGCATCCCAGTGATTGCAATCTCCAGACCCCCAACCATATCCCTGGCTCTGATCTGCAGTAAAAGCTTTCAAGGTTAGCTGCAGGGGAGGAGCAGATTCCCAGACAAGGAGTGCTTGTGAATGCCTTAGGCTTCCTCCATTTGAGGGCCATGGGGTCAGGGACCTTCTGCATGTCTGGGATGACTCACCCTGACATCCCAGGCCCAGACACGCGCCTCCCTATTGCATAACTCCTAGAACACCCTTCACTGTATAGCATGGGCTATGCAGCAGCTGGGAAGAGAGCCCGAGAACTCAAGAGCCCACAGACACACAAGTGCCACCTTGGACACCCTCTAGGACACAACGGGATGTTCAACTAACCCACTGTGCCAACGTGGGGCATCCTCCAGGATGCGATGGAATATCAGCTAACCCACTATGGTGTCTCAACAGAGTGTCTTATTGTGGATTCTGAGACCTTTTAGGCAGGCTGACTCTGCCCTAGTTCCTCCAAAGCCCAAGACCTTGATGTCTTGTTCCTGGGGTGGAGAGGACAGTTGCAAAAGATTCACTGCTGTTCTTGAACAAAAAGAGCAGGTTAGTGTCACCTGCTGATGTGGCCCACAGCCTGGCCTGGGTAGAGCTAACCAGCCTCACAGGCTAGCATGGATGGTCCCCTGCCCCCATCATATGGGCCTCACAGCCTTAGCACACTCGTAGCAGGGACGGGCTAGCCAGTCAGGTCCCAGCTGGAGTTAGCCAGAAGGGTTGTACCAACTCCAGAAGAAAGAATGCCGTGTGCCCTTCTGCCACACAGTGACCTTGCCCGTGCTTTCCAGGGGGCATAGACCCATGGGAAGAAGAGCAAGCCTGGCTCAGAGACAGCTTGTTCCCTTAATAAAGTAATTACAGAGCTGGCTAATTTACATCCCTAGAAAGATGCAGGGCAACGGTAGGCTGGGGGGTGTGGATAAGTGTGTGTTTAATTTTAAATCCTCCAGCCTCTCCTTAATGAGGAGGTGCCTTGAAATACAGCAGAACGCTGGGATTCTTCAAAGCGCTCCTTTTCTCGGTGCTTCCTTTCTTCAAGGGAAAGTGTAAAAGACAGATGAGGGGAGGCAGCAGCAGGGGAGGGTTGGCCTCCCCCGTCATGTCGTGCCGACATTATCTGCCATAAAGCTGTCGCTGAAGGATGGAGAACCAGCTCTTGGCTGCAGTGGCCCTCAGATAATGTCAGTGCTGAGCAATGACCCAGGGTGTGTTGGCACCAAGCAAGCATTTCTAGGGCTCTGGTGCCAGAATCCATAGCTGAGCCCGGGCAGCTTTCCTGCCAGGGAAATGAAAGGGACTTAGTAGCTACTGTCCAGGAGCCCCATCGTGAGACCCAGGGAGCTTTCTGAATCATAGGTGGGCTCTCAGTTCTACCGAACTCCTGGTGGCTCTTTGGCCCATGGGGTATGTTTTGAACAGGAAGAATTTGGAGAAGCCAGACGCTGGCTTCCTGTGTGTGTTAGCTACTTTCTCATGGCTGTAGCCAAAGACCTGACAAGAAGCAGCTTGAGAGAAGGAGGACTTTGTCTTAGGGTTCCTGTTGCTGTGAAGAGACACCGTGACCAATGCAACTCTTTAAAAGGAAAAACATTTAATTGGGGTGGCTTACACTTTCAGAGGTTTAGTCCATTATCATCATGGCGTGACATGGTGTTGTGCGGGCAGACATGGTGCTGGAGAAGGAGCTGAGAGTCCTACGTCTTGACCCACAGACAACAGGAAGTGAGTCTGAGTCCCTGGGTGTGGCCTGAGCATATATGAGACCTCAAAGCCTGCCTCTGCTGTGACACACTTCCTCCAACAAGGCCATACTTACTCCAACAAAACCACACTTCCTAGTAGTGCCCCTCCCTATGATCTTATGGGGGCCAATTACGTTCAAACTTCCACAGTCTTCTTTTGCCTTGCAGATCAAGGAAACACAGCTTCCATCATGGGGAAAGCATGGTGGTGGGTACAGCTAGGGGCATTGGTACAAGGAGCACGAGACTGCTTGCTCAAATCTATCCCCACAGGCTAGGAAGCCCAGAAGGGATGCTGACTTTTTTTCTACCCTTTTCACTCCATCCGGGCCCTCAGCCCGTGGGATGGTAGGCACACATTCAGGGTAGATATTAACCCCTCCCTTCCTCCTCTCTGGAAATGCCCTCTTTCAATACTCAAAGGTGTACTTCACGAAGCTGTTCCTTAATTCAACAAGTTGACCGTTGAAATCAACTACCATGCCAGCGTCCCACCAGGTGGTTTTGGCTAAGTAGAACACAGCAGGGGTAGGTGTGAGCCACAACCACGCTACCTCAGAAGGGGAAGGTATGGGTGTCCCCAGAGGTCTAGGCTATGCATTATAAAAGGTGGATGACATGGCAGATAGCCTGTGTTTGTGTTTCGCATATGGTTTTGCCGGTTCTGCCCCATTAGGGTTTCCAGCACCTTCTAGTGGTACCCAGGTAACACCTATAGGAAAACAATGTGTGTTTACTTTCAGCTCCCCAGTGAGCACCCTGGTGGGGACAGAGGTGAACTTAACACTTGGGAATCTGGAGCCAATATGGGCTCTGTACCGGGGACTTGATTTTGGTTTTGTGCGTCTACTCAGGGCTCCTTATTTCTGGCATTGCCAGCCAATCCTCTGCTGCTTATCTGCTTTCACAGGCCTTTGGATGAGAGAGAGCTGACAGAAGCCGAACCCCACCTTCTCTGCGTGCTGGGGAACAGGGCTACACAGCCCCAGTGGCACCCATGCCGAAGAACAGCAAGGTGACCCAGCGTGAACACAGCAATGAGCATGTCACCGAGTCCGTGGCTGATTTGCTGGCCCTCGAGGAGCCTGTGGACTATAAGCAGAGTGTACTGAATGTGGCGGGAGAGACAGGTGGCAGGCAGAAGGCGGCGGAGGAGGAGCTGGACGCGGAGGACCGGCCAGCCTGGAATAGTAAGCTGCAGTACATCCTGGCCCAGATCGGCTTTTCTGTGGGCCTGGGCAACATCTGGAGGTTCCCCTACCTGTGCCAGAAAAATGGAGGAGGTAAGAGGTAACCATGGTTGATCGAGGGTACCTGGAAAATGGGTTGGGCTGGGAGAGAAAGGACCATGCCTTTGCTGTGGCAGAACTGGAGTCCTTGGAGACAGGAGCGCAGAATTCCAGAACAAGACTCAGAGTCACACAGTGGTGCCGGGCGGTGGTGGCGCACATCTTTAATCCCAGCACTCGGGAGGCAGAGCCAGGCAGATCTCTGTGAGTTTGAGGCCAGCCTGGTCTACAGAGCAAGATCCAGGACAGGCACCAAAACTACATGGAGAAACACTGTCTCGGGGGGAAAAAAAAAGGGGGGGGGGAAGAGTCACACAGTGGCTCATAGGTATAAAAAGTCTGGAGGTCATGTTAGGAGTGTGGGTTCTGGCTGCAGGCTGCCACAGTTCAGATCCCACCCTGGCCATAGCCAGTCAGGCCTGGGACCTAGTACAAGCTGCTGGACTTCTGTGCCTGTCACTGCTTACTCTGCAAATTGAATGTAAGAGCACTTCCTGCCTACTCTTGAGAGTCGGAAGGATTCAGTGAATTTTATATACTACCTTGGTAAAGAACAACTGTTGGCTGTGACCATCGAATACTTAGGAGATGCAAAGCACGGTTTTAAGCACTTAAATGGATGTTGGGCTCAACTGCTCAAAACTCCTCCTGTGTGAGCATCTTGGAACAACAAAAGCACTGGTTTCACATGGTTCACCCATGGGTTCCTCCCAGTAACCTTGTTTAAGGAGAAGGTTGTTGTCTTTACTTTAGAGACTATAAAACTGAGGCACAGATAAGTTGGGTAATTTTTCCAGGTCATGTGACATGAAGGTTTAATGCTAATGGTGGGATTCCACCTGGTGGGCATGGCCTGTGCACTTCATACAACATGGGCTGGCTGCCTGTAGTGGATCCTCACGCTGCACCTGGATGCAAATTCCTCTTGAGCATATGGCCTGCTATAAAATTGTCCTCAGTGCTGACGAAGCACCCAGAGCACGTAGATCTCCCTAGGTACTGTCTCTCCTGAGTGTGGAAGTTTACCAGAACTTTCCAGAGGCAGACTGGCTTGAAATGATGGGAAAATTACAGAAAATAAAGAAAACCGTGGTAGGCTTATATTTTAGTTTCCTTTCTATGGGTGATAAAATACTCTGACTAAAAGCAGAGGGAAGGGTTTATTTGGCTTACACTTCTAGCTCACAGCCCATCATTGAGGGAAATCAGGGCAGAAGATCAAGCAAGAACTTCTCAAGAAATCCTGGATAAACAATGCTTGCTGGCTTGCTTACAGTATACTGCTTAGCTAGCTTTCTCCTGTAGCCCAGACCACTTCCCCAGAGAATGGTGCTGCCTGTAGTGTGCTGGGCTCTCCAAGATCAATTACTTATCAAGGAAATCCCCAGAAGACATGCCCATCGGCCGGTCTGATCCGGTCCCTATACCAAGTTCCCCTTCTCACATGGCTATAGTCCCGCTGATGGTCAGTGTTAACAAGGAACGCTAGAAGCTGCATTTCCAAGCCCACACTTGTGTTCCTGAGAAATCTGTACACCATGGAACTTCATAGCTCCTGAACCTCCCCCCCCCCTCCCGGGACCACCCGACTCCAGCCTTTTGGACGGCTACAGCTTTCTAGGCATTTTGACTTAGCTCCTTCCTGCCTTCTCCAAGGGATTCCTAATATTGTAGCCTCTCCCAAAATTTCTGCTCCATTCAGAGAGGGACACCCCACCTTTGGATCGGTTACTTTTTCCATTACTGAAACAAAATAGCTAACAGAAGAAACTTGAGAGAGGACGGACTTAGTTTGGTTCAGGGTTTCAGGGCAGCTCAGTCTGTCAGGGTGGCAATGTGAATGAGTGTCTCCTGTCAGAGAAAGCCTGTTGGGGAGCTCACCCTGAGGCAGAGCAGCAGGAAGCAGAGAGAAATACAGAGTTAGGGACAGGCTGTAACTCTCCAAGGTCCACCCAGGGACTCACTCTGCCAACCAGACCTCCTCAAGGCTGCACAGCAGCATTCTTCCTTAGTCTTCCTGTTCAAAGTAACTCATTCCTTTTTCACAGCACCCTTTGGAGAGTGCAGGAGTATGAAGTGAATATTTATTTTGTAAATACAAAATGGGTGCGTATCAGTGGTTTCATATGGTTTTGTCTAATATTTTCTTTCTGTCAACATAGACGACAAAATAACAGCAAAGAGAGATCAAGTAATTTGTCCAAAGGTGCAGAGTAGGTGGCGGAGCCCGGGTTCCAGTCTTGATGATCTGACCCATGAGTCTGGTCTCAGCTCCTTTTCAGTCTGTATCTCAATTAAATGGGGCCAAAAATGGGCTCTTAAGCCCCAGAAATAAATGGGCCGTGCCAAAAGCAAGGTATGGTGTAGAGACAGGGATCTGGGGAACTGCAGCGAGCCAGGCTCTGCTCACTTGTGGTTGCCTTCTGCTAACTGTCCTGATGCCCTGAGTGATGCTCCCCGCTGTTTAGTCCTAAGACTCCTGAGAGGCACTGAGGCATCAGAAGAAATCCAAGTTGTGTTTTCCAAGGTGGAAGAGGGTGCTGCATGATTTCAATGATTGACTCACAAAAGTGCCTTTTATTAATCATGAATTCAGCTCATCTAAGTGTGCTGGCCTTGAGCCCTCTGGCCAGACTAAACTTCATGTGGTCATGACCTGCAGTCATGACTAAGACAGAAGGAACCTGGGCCATGGGAGGCCAATCCACAGTCTTTTGGCCACAGATCACTTTTAGAGGATCTCCCCAGGTTTGGAGAAGAGGAGAGAAACATTTAAAGGAGATACCAATGTTTTCTGACACCCCGACACTCATCTCCCTGTACATCTTGTCCTTCCCGAGAACACTGAGGTAAAATTAAGAAAAACAGCGAGGCTCCTCCTTGTTGTCTTCCTGCAATGGATTGTTTCTGTTGCTTCTGTTTCCCTCCACCAAAGACCAAGACTGACAGGGG